GGTTCGCTACAGTATTTTCTCTCACAAAAAATACGCATAAATCGAAAATAGTTTTAATCTCATGATTCTAATCCATGAACCAAACGTCTCTTTTTCGATGCTAAAACCTTTTAAAGGATCGAATAATAATAAAAGAAAATACATTAAATAGAAAACCACTCATACTATTAGAGGCTAAAGACTTCGTCTAAACTTCCTTAAAATAATGAGAGTTTCTCTCTGGCTTTTAAATATCTTAAACATAATTATTGACAGTAGAAATTCGTTAATAGAGTGATGATGAATTTTTGATACTAATACGTAAATTTAGAGTGTAATTAAGGACTAAAAAAGAGAAAAAAAAATACCAGCATTTATAATAGTTAACCTAAATGTTATGCTATGTCCACTGTATGAATATTTTTCGCTAATTATGTTAAGTGAAATTACAATCTCCCAGGAGGAACTTTCTGAAGAGGCATTACAATGCTATTTTTCTTGATAGACGGGGCCTCTGCTAAGGAATACTCCCATCGTATTTATAATCATGTTGTTTCTCGTCATATTCCTTGTTGTACTTTTAAATGATTTTGTCACTCATCGGAATAGTATTCTTTGGTGATAGAGATGTTGACGGGTCTCTCACGTTCTCCATTAACTCTGTATAAATACCTATCACACTTCTAAAAAGCTATCATGTTTTGAGAACATGGGTGGAGTCAGAATCTTAATACTCTTTGAAGCGATCTTCACTCCTGAGAGTAAATAGGATCGACCGTATATTACGACACGCTTTCCAATCCGATCGTCCTCTTGTGAGTTATATCCTTTATTTACGGTCGGCATCTAAAGTTGGGTATCTCTAAGAGGATATAATTCCTTGCATTCTACTAACCCGGTCATTTAATACTTGTAATGTTACGTGACAACGTCCGCATAACAACCATTTAACGGTTGAGGTAGAGTGTGCAATTTTTCTATATAACAATAATTATTTTAGGAAGTTTCTCATATTGTAAAATTCATCTTTAATTAAAAAATAGTGTTAAGCGTTGTCGGTATCTCCCTTATAGCAACTGTCACGAGCAGTTAATTATGAAAATCATACTGGCGCCGGTGGGTATCGTGTCATAGATCCATGCATTATTGTCATACTTGGCCTTTGCTTTGGGTGTACATGTGGGCGTGTTTTTCGCCGTTTGTCCGAAACTTCCTTTCGTTGCTGTCGTACTTTAGATACTTTTGTTATGCTCGAGAAGTACAAAAGTAAATGCATTGAAGCGGTGAGTGATTTCTTTAATTACTAGTTCAAATGTTGCTGTAAGAATTATAATATTACGTTCACGACAAGTTTGCTTCGGATGTTCACCTAACTATGTGTTTGAAGCGTGTACGCATCACGAGAAGTTTGCTTCGGATCTGATCCGTTCGGTTCGCTAATTTAAGTTTTTAATTTAAGTGGAGATGTGATATTATGTGAGAGTTTTTTATTGTAACAAAAAAGTTAAATGTGACTGTTTCTTAAAACTTTTTACTGTAATAAAACTCGAATTCTAAACTCGAATCTGCGAAAAGAACGGGGCTTAAATATCGTTCATTTTACTGATTTAAATTTAAAATTTAAATTTTATTATAATAATTTTTTTTTAAAAATAATCACATTTAATTTTTTTACTACAGTAAAAAACTCTCATATGAAGTCGCATATCAACTCAAATCAACAAATTAAACGGACTCTTATTTTGGACTCTTATTTTTTGAAAGTGCGGTATTCTCTAATTATCAATTGTTAAATATGTATTATTTTTTAATCTGATTTGATTTTTAATCAAATTTAATATAGATAATGGCTTATAAGCAAAAAATACTAGAGAACGTCCATTCTTTATTTTGTTTCTTTTTTTTTTAGTGTCAAATTCGGATCACTAAGGGCATGTTTGGTCAGAAAATTTAAATTATGATTTGAATCATGGTTCATGGTTCGTTACAGTATTTTCTCTCACAAAAAATACACGTAAATTGAAAATGGTTCTAATCACATGATTCTAATCTATGAACCAAACGTCTTCTAAATCTAATTAAAATCATATCAAATTAAAAAATATACAAAACATACAATCTAATACAGGGTTAAAAAATAAAAAATTATCAATAATTCTAAAAAAAAAAAAAAAAAACTCTCTTCTTTTCAAAAAGGAATTAATCATCTTTCTTAAATGGGCATCAAGAAAAAAAAGAAAAAAAAGCTAGACAGTGACTAGATGAAAGAATTTGTTTATGTGCTACCAATTGGACCGGAAAGATATCTTGTCGTCGTATTAAAAAAAAGAAGAAGAGAGATAGGTACGTGCATTATTATAAAGAAAAAAAAAACAGATAGGTGTCATGACTTGTCTAAAAAAGATAGTGCAACTTTTTATGCACCGCTATTATTATTATTATTATTATTATTAGATGCTTTTATGCGACTTTTTCTATGCATATAATTTTTTGAAAGGAGTTGCACTGATTAGACAAAAAAAAAAAAAAAAAAACACTATCTGCTTTTTTTTTTTTTTAGGCCCAAAAAAAAATTAATGTATATTTTTT